TATTCTATTCTATTCTATTCTATTCTATTCTATTCTATTCTATTCTACTCTACTCTACTCTACTCTACTCTACTCTACTCTACTCTACTGTATTCGTACTGTTGTGGAGAAAATGCCTATATGTGTAAGATGCTGTCACCCAGGAAATTTGCTACTGCTTGAATAACCATACCAAGCATGTTAATAAGTACTTTTGTATTGTCCTGGAAGGAAGGATCAAGCTACCATCCTTGGCCCAGTGTTATTCAATAAATTAAACAAGTCTTATATCAGGCGTATCTAACCTTTTGGCTTTCCTTGATTGCAGGGAGTGAAGAATTGTCTGGGGCTGCATATAAAATATATAATATAATGCATATAAATATGCATAATTTACAATCTTGTGGGGCCATTACTAGCTGTCCAGGGTTGCATGGAGCCCTGGGGTCGTGAGTTGGATATACTTTTCTAATGTTCTTTGAAGGTTTGTGCTTAAAATTATTTTACATTTGTAAATGCCTGAACAATACAGTCTAATTCTAAATAAAACTTGTAATAAAACTCAAAAGGAAAATTAAATAGCATCATTCAACAGTTTAATAATTTGATGAAATTCTTCCTATAAATTCTAATATACTTTCAGTGAACACTGAAGTTTCTAGAGAGCCTCTAAAGCAGATCTTTGAGGGCACAAGAAATACAGTAGGAGGAAGAACAATAAAATTCATGTTATGTAGTATTTTGACAATAAAAACTTATATTAAAATACAGTGATTAAAGTACAAAGAACTATGTTGGCTGATCCTTGAGCTATAGATTTTAATGCTGGTTCACTTTTTTAAAAGTATTTTTGACAGTGAGGATGTTTAAAAATCTGCTATTTGCCACAGAAATAATTTCTTCAAAAAAGAGAAAATGAACAAACATTTTGAACTAAGCAAATCTTCACATTTCCTCATGTTCAGCAATGAATAAAACATTAAGTATTTACTAGATTGGGTTCTATGTGAATGGGAGAAATGTTCTCCAGAATGTGCAGCAGCAACCTCTTGTGGTCTGAATAAAGCAATGTATCCATAAGAACAGGAATGAATATGAATATATTACATGCATAATATCTTAGCTAAAAGATCATATGTGAAATATTTTTCTTGTATAGAAAATATCTGAAGTATATGTTTGCCTCACTAATGTAGAATTTTATGAAACATAACTTTTTTCTTTGACTACTAAACGCAATTGGCATGTATTTCAAACAAAAAATATCTTAACACATAATATATAAGGAATCTTTTCTACCATATTGTGTCAGATGAAGTTTATTGCAGAGACCAAATCTCTTCAACAGATTGTAGTATACAGTACATTGGCAAAGTACATTGTCATAGTTTAAAAAAAGTTACAGCCTGAAACAATAAGTACTTTGATCATACAAGCTTTGCTCTTAAAGCTTTAGAAGGTATATGTTATTTGTTATTTATATTCTTTTCACAGAAAAAGTCTTGTTAGATACTTTAGTGTACTTTAGTGTAATGGTTAGTGTACTTTAGTGTAATGTAAATATGATTATGGAATGTTATTTTATTAATATGGAATTCTGAATAAAGAACATAACAGCTGCTACGTGTGTACAGTTAGTAAGCAGATTTTTCTCACATGTGATTAATCTTTGAGCTGCCTTGTCATAAATACATATAGTAACTAACATAATTTTTTTTCTTTTTTCTAACTACTATGGCAGTAGGTTTATCGGACATGCCAAACTCTTAGGCTGTTATTTATCTAATAGGAATTGGCAGAAATCAGCAATAGTTTAATATCTACTAAATATATCACCTATTCTCTGCAGGACCTAATACTATAGAAAATTGCTTCTGGCAAATTTACAAAGCCCCCAATGGTCCCTTCAAAAAAGAAAGCTTTTCTAAGAGTAGAATTGACTGGTGAATAATTTATTATATAATGTATTTGTCAAAAATAGATGAAAGAAAAACATTTCCACTTATTTTTAAATGCAAATATTGTATTTTTGGGCTTTTTGTCTAATCCTCATTCATTCATTCATTCCCCATATAGTTTCCATTTAAAAAAATATGCATTGTAAACTTAACCACTAAGCTATATTAGCTCAATGCATTACTTCATCCAGTGAAATAATTAACACATGTCAAAACTTTAAAGATTATCCCCTCCCTGCCAATTGACATTGTTCAACAACTACCCCATGGTAAAAAATTCTGAAAATATAGTGTATCATAGGTATATAAAGCAGAATGTGTCAAAGCATGAATAATATTATTTGTACCTTTGAAGAATTAAAAATTCTTGGGTGGTATTGATACAACAATCCTATGTAGCTAGCATTACAAACTGAAAAGGTTCATTGATTAAGAAAAGGCAAGGCCAAAGGACAGAATTTCTCTACTGCTTTGTTCTTAAATGATTCTGGCTTAAGCATTTATTAAGATATTAGTAACTATCTTTATCTTTCTTCAGACATGCCCAAATGGAAACAATATATTACAAGTCAATGATATAATCATATAAGATGAAAATCAGCTTTTTGTCCACTGTGTTATTATTTACCAGACAAATAAATTAAAATATAGAGATTTATGTTACTCTATTCCCAAAAAACCTATTCCTATAATACTTCGTGAACTTGTAAACAAAGTTATGTTTTAAAAGATTTTTAAATAAATATGTCTACTTAAAAAAACCATTGCATACATTATATTTCACATCACTATTTTTGGGAATGATACTTCAAGCTTCTCTTTGAAATTAAACACATTTTAATATATATTTTCATTTTTAGAGATAAATAATTAAAGGAAATAATTTCTTAGTTTTAGTAACATTTTAAAACATAATATTAAAAATGCAAATACGTAAAAACAAAACTGTTTTTTGTTCTTCAATATCAAAACAAAACAAAGACCAACTTACTCTAATAAAGACTTGCATCGTTTCCTTTTCTTTTTGTGGATTTCGGTACTTCTCATAGAAGTCTCTTCGCTTCTTTGTATCTTTCGTAATTTTATCTTTTCTCTCTTTTTTTTCTGCAGGTTCATCTGAACTATCTGGAGACGGCTGTTCTTGAGCTTTTGTCTTTTCAACCTCAATATAATTCTCATTCGGATTCAGTATTATTATTCCATATCCTTCCTGTTCCAGATGAAAGGGGGGAAAAGGATTTATTGGTTCAAATGTACTGATTGAAGTGATTTTCACAGCACTAATAAAGGAAGTAGTAGTTGCATTTTTTTATCTTTGTGTCCAAATTTACAATGACCCCTTTTGTTTATTTGTTTGCTTTGCTCTTTACATTTTTACAGTGATTTACGCAGTTCATCAAGAAATTGTAAAATAGCTTCCTCCATACTAGATTCCAAAATTACCAACTTATTGCTTAATTAATAAAAGGTTACATGTAGGTTGCTTAAATCCTATTGATTGCAAAAGGATTTAGCAGACTTCAGAGATTAAACCATTAAACATTTGTTCAATTAAAAACTGATAGCAGCAATAACAATGAATCAATTTCAATTTTGATTATTTGATACTGTTTTGAATTGAATGGATTAGTTACAAGTTCAGACATAAGCACTTTTATTGGAATTAAAAATGCACTTAAAGGCTTCAAAGGAAAAATATTAGATTCTTCTCATAGAATATAAATTATAAATCAACAAGAAACATAAAGGGAAAAGTCTAAAATTTGAGACATTTTGTTTATATCAAAGAAAATAATCCTCATTAAAGAAAGTAAGAGAAGTCAAATCTACATAAACCAAATCCAGTTGTCAACATTTCAAAATTTCTTTATAACTTTTTGGAGAAAATCTATACTAAAATAAAATAAATTTTTATCTACTTAAAGTAAAATATTCCCTTGAATAAAAGAAGTCCACCTATGTAGATGATCAATGCTAAGTAAATCTTTGACAATAACAAAAGATACTTTATTTGGTGTTGCTTTATTCTAATCTTGTAGCTATTCAAAAACCTTGTAATGCATTGTGATAACTGTCAGGTAGACAGATTGTCACTTGGTGCTTTTCTACAGTTGGACACACTCGACTAGCTATTAAAATCACATTTGAAGAAAGTTCTTACTCTTCCTTGTGCCTGTACAAGTTTTCACGCCCTTCTCAAATTTCTACTATACCTTCTCCTCCCACCAAAACTAAGTTAAAGAACACTGTTGCACTCTGTTAAGCAGGGTGAATTAGAGGCATTCAGTTCACTGTCTATGGTATAAGGGAACATGGTAAAAAGGTCACCATAGGTCAAAGAGAAAATTGCCGCCTTCTAGATTCTGTACCATGAGTAAGTGATCTCCTGTCATTTTTTCCTCCTGTCATTTTTTCTCCAGTTTTCTTTTCAGCACAAACCCCATATACTACTGTATGCTTTTAGAAAAGATTAATGTATTAAATTAATATCTTTACTACAGTTTCTATATAAATAAACTGAATTGAAATTTATATTAAAATCAGGATTGGGACTTTTCTTTTTTAAAAATATAATAAATACATTGAAAAACAGATTCCTGTCTTCATGATTACTAATAACAAAACATTCTGAAGAGACTATTTTTCTAACTGTTTTATATAATTTCTCCCCGCACCCTAAAAAAAAACAACCTTGTACATTATGCATTATGTAGTGTCTTAGTTTGCTGTCCCATTTGTGATTTGAAGTTTTTTTCTTCTTTGAAGATAGGCCTTATATTGATTCATGTTATGTTCTATACAATGCAAGATGTAAAATTCATGTATTTGTTATTATTTTACAGGTATTACTGAAACTGAAACCACGTTCATTTTTTGCTACTCTCAAAAAAACCACAGACACACATAAATCATCAAAGAAGTAAAATTTGTCTAAGTTATTGATTATGTAACTGAAAATTACATGTCTCATTTGTCCAATTTTATGAGGACATAATATCAATTTTTCACAGACACATCAACAGATGAAAAATGAATCCATTTAAAAATCTCAGCTACATAAATAAATTAAAGGATTTTTACCGATTAAGCTTAAATAGTACAAACCATCCTTTGGCATGGTTTAAAAACTTTTTTTAATATATTGTATTTATTAAAGTAAAGACATAATTAAAATAGTAATATTTCAGGAATCTATATAAGATGTTTTATGGGTATTTTTAAAAAGTTTATGATGATCCTTGTTTTGCTTAGCTGACATTATGTCATACTTTTCAGTCACTTCCCCCAAATAATATGAGGAAAAATAGGCACAAGAAAGAGGATAATGAGTAATAGACATTAAACTGATGAACAGAGGTAGAAATACAATATAATACATATAACTGGAATGGAATTTAACCTCTATCAGAGTTGCTAAAGTGAGACCAACCTAGCATTATCATAAATTAATTTTGCATTTGACAATATGACCTCTTGTTTCCTTTTCACCTTAAAAAGATTAAAATATTTTAAAAATTCATCAGAATGTATTTAAATTTTAACCTGCATTCTTTATTAATGAGGCTTTTAAAATAAGCTAATTTTTTATGTCAAAATGACAGGCAACTAATATTGGGACATCATCAATACATACAGAATGTAGAGACCAACTTAAACAAAGCCTTAAGCAGTCACAATTTATACATCACATCCACACATTTATATTTTGTTTAAAATAAGTCTTAAAATCTGTAACATACATTTTACAAATTTAAACCATACAATTGATATGATTTCTAACATTCACTTCCCTAGATATGCATGCCTATTTAACTCTAATCAACTAATTAATAATTTGCCTTCAAAATAAATGGTCTAATTGAAGCACTAAATGTAAAAAATATATCTGAAATGAAATACATCTACAATATAATACATTACAAATTTTTGAAGTTAAATGTTTTCAGAGATTTGTAGGATAAGCATTCAGCTGTGTGCAGAATACATTATTCAACAAGTTTCAAGTTCATCTTCACAACTATCAGGCAAAATTAAATGAGACAGTTTATAACTAGTCTCTACTAAAATTAGTCTTCAATAACTTTTGAATTCTAACTGATTATCAATTGGATAATGAATTTTATATCATTCAACCATTCCAAAAAACTATCCAGTAAGATTATACTATATACTATAAAATTATAACTTTATGATTCCAAAATCTATTGGGTTTTTTCTAACAGGTTAAAATTCCTATCAATTATTTCAGAAACCATTTAAAGGATGGACTTCATTTCTAATCTTATACATCTGCTTATTTATTCATATTGATTAAATTACAAGCAAGCTTAGAGAAATGTTGAAAAGTACTTATAATACCAAGTCTTTTTGTATCTTAGATCACAGGAAATTCATGAGTATTCTTGGTAGTCAAACATGGTATCAATACGAAAAAAAATTCTAATAACATCTATGGGATGCTTCTACTACTGTGTACAGGTACAACACCCTTATAGAATAAAATATAGAGAGCAACAGCAAAAAAAGTTTGAGATATATTCTGGGACACAAGAAGGCCCTTGTGTCTGCTGAAATGAATAATGAGCTATAAGCGTTCAGCCCAGCATATTAATCCACTAGGATAGCCCGCTGTATATGATCAGAGAGGTCAGAGCCTAGAGTGGAATATATTGACCCATGTGTCTATCTTTCTGGCTTGTAAGTAAAAATGTGTAACACATAATTTTGTTGAGCTTTATCAATCTGATTTTAAAAAAACAACACCCCTATTTAAAATGCTTGAAGCAGAATCAAGTTAGTTCTGCAGGGAAAGGACTCTTAGAACTTTAGATCAGTAACCTAGATCTACTGTATGCATGTTTAAAATGGTTACAAGAATGACTATTCATTGTTTTTAAAGATGTATGATCTGTTTATTTCTGATCTTTTTCATGAGAAGAGTACCTATGTGTCACTGTTGCAACAACCTAGATGCAACAGTAGGATGAGGTCATGACAACCAATCAGAAGTCACTAGTGAAGCGTAAAAGTAAACATAGCTGTTGGAGATGCAGCTCAGCTTGAAAAATGCCCCCTCTATTATTTGAGCAATTTTCTCAAGACGTGACCTGAGACTGAAATGCCTAAAATGTCAGTTGACTTCTTTTTGTATTTTCACCCAATGTGCATTTTGGCAACTGCACCCTGCTAACATTTTGTAATATTTTCATCCCAGTTACACCACATCTCTTAGACTCCAGCATTCCACTGCTGTGTCCAAGTGTATAAAAATGCTATATTACTGCCAAACTTTATATTGCTCCACAAAGTTTCCAACTTAAAATAGCTCATCAAGTTAGGCAGGAAAAGAAAACATGCCACAAAAAGTTTTTAGGAGACCACCTGTTGTCTATTATTTTTACATAGCACTTACTCATAAATCATAACACAGGGTAATTAATCAAGCTGTCAAAGAAAAGGTCAAAGGTTACACAGGGGAGTCAGAAGGTCATTCATGGGCTGATAGAGGTCAGGGTCACACCACATTCCTCATTATCAAGTTGGGATGAGAGACGACCCAAGCAAACAAAAGTGAAAGCAGATGGAGAAGTGAGTGGATAAAAAAGAAAGAAAACTTGACAAACAAAAAGAAAAGTGAAAGAAGAGTGTCAGCTGCCTTCAAATAAAGCATAGAATAGAATCAAAACACACTGGAATCTGCTCAGAAATGTTCTATGTAAAATAAAGAAACTATATTTTCATTTAAAAATGTCATATAATTTAGATGTTTTAATGGAAATAAACAGCATCACTAAGTGCTTTGACTATTTCATACAAATACGCAACAATTACAAGCAAATCAGATAAAGAAATTATGTTGAACATAATCAATCTTCCCCACCTCCGCACTTTGGGTATAGCCTATAGAATCATAATAAAATATTTGTATAAAAATAGTATTGAAATTATACTCTTCAAAACCACAAATGTTCATTAACATAAAGCATCATAAAAGTCCTTCTGGATGACACAAGAGTTATAAAATATTCTATCATTACACTAACCTGAATTAGATGCAGAATAGTGTGCAAAATTAGCTGTCACCCTTTCCTCAAAATCTTTGCTAATCTCATTTTGAATGTTTGCAGCTTTATCAACACATGCATCAATGTCAGCTCCTTGGTTACTGAACCGCAGTACTTGGAAGAAGATATAATTAAAATGTTTTGG